CTATCTGTTCTATCTGTTCTATCTGTTTTATCTGTTTTATCCATGTTTGATCTGTAAAGTTGTCAATATTAGAAGTTTATTCACTGACTAAGGATTGCATCAGTAAACCCTGATTGGTTCTATCAATCCAATCATCCAACATTTATCACAAAATAAAAAGTAAAGATAAAAATGGAATATTATATTTCTAATTTTTTTAATCCAAATACTGGAATATATTGCAACATTCTACCGAATTTTTAAAGTATCTCTTGAGTAAAAATATTTTTATATATTTGATATAAAGGTTTACAGGTCATGTGGAAAATTGATGAAATTGGTCCAATCCGGGCCAACTTGTGCATTTTCTATACAGGATGATAAATCAAGTTGGAGGATACAGATATCTAGGATACTTTTATGTACTAATATCTAGGATACTTTTATGTACTGATATCCAGGATACTTTCATGTACTGATATCTAGGATACTTTTATGAAATGATATTCAGGATACCTCTATGTTCAGATTCCAAGGATACTTTTATGCGTTGATATCTAGGATACCTTTATGTTCAGATTCCCAGGATACTTTTATGTGTTGATATCCAGAAAACTTTTATTTATTGATATCGTGGATACTATTATGTACTGATATCTAGCATACTTTTATGTACTGATATCTAGCATACTTTTATGTACTGATATCTAGGATATTTTTATGTACTGATATCCAGATTACTTTCATGTACATCCAAAATAATTTCATGTACAGACATACAGGACAATTTTATGTGTTGATATCTAGGATACTATTATGTACTGATAACTAGGATACTTTTATGTACTTTTATCTAGGATAGTTTTACGTACTGATATCCAGAATACTTTCATGTACATCCAAAATAATTTCATGTACAGACATACAGGACAATTTTATGTTTTGATATCTAGGATACTTTTATTTACTGATATTCTGGATACTTTCATGTACTAATATCCAGGATACTTTCATGTACTTATACTGGATTTCCTAATGTTCTAATAATGAAGTAACTGTACAGTATAGTTGTGTGAGTGTCCAAAGCAATAAATAAAATAAGTATAAATAATGAGAAAATATTCTATATAGTACATAGATGTGTATTTGCGGATTATACTAATATAAAAGAATATGGGAGCTAGAGAGCTAGAGGGCTGATTCATATTATTATTTTATATAAAAGATATGGGGGGGGGGGGGCTCACTGTGAAATAGACGAGGGAAAACGTCAAATTTATAAAACAAAACGACCTTGCGACCTTGTAGCTCCTTCAGTTTTGATTTTATGCACAATCTTGAGAAAACCAAATTTATCCGGTGACATATTACAAATTAAACCCTATAAAGGCTGGGGGTCTGAATCTATGTATAGCCTGGGGGGTTGTTTTGGGCCCCCCCCCCCCCCCCCCCCCCAAGAAGAAGGCCTTAGAGAATATGTATAGGGTTGAAATGCATGTTCATTGCCCAATTCTTGAAGACAAGCTCATAGGAAAAAAATTAGACCAATAACTTTAAGAGTTCGGGCGCTAAGGAATGAAAAAAATTGCCTAAAAAAGGATAAAAAAAGAAAAAAATATTTTTTCTAGTTTTAAAAAATCTCAAAGTGCGACACATGTTTCTACATGCATTTTTCAAGGGCTTTTCAAAAATATAGTTTTTAGATCGGTATCTGTAGTCACAAAAAAAGTTACGGGCTATTTTAGATTTTTTCACAGACCGGACTTTTTTTCCAATCTCTACAATAAGAAGAGTAAGATTGAAAACATATATCATCTTTCGTGCAGTTTCGTTTGTCGTGGAAGGGGGAGGGGGGGGGGGTTTAAATCAAAATCTTAGCTTCCTTCCTAATCAGATTATGTTATTTTTTGATAGTAATTTATTCCTTTTATACATACTTTTTCCAGTATATTGGTTTTCTGTCCGTGTAGTGTGCAGCGTGTGCTCTCGATTGCAATTCTAAACAATATGTTTTCTCAAGATTCAAAGTTCTAAAATAAATGACGTATCTACATTCTACATTTTTTGCTAGATAAATAGATATATATATATATAGCAGTAATCTCTGTTATTTTGTCTGTTTGTAAGTCCGATCATAACTCATGAACCCCTGGACCGATTTGCCTCAAATTTTGGGTTGGGAACTCGGTTCAACTACGGGAATGTTTAAAGATTGTAGTTAGGTCGGCTGACTTTTAAAGGAAACCAACTTAGTTTCCAGTATAAGTTAGGTTTCCAGTATATGCTAGGTTTCCAGTATTTGCTAGGTTTCCAGTATATGCTAGGTTTCCAGTATATGCTAGGTTTCCAGTATTGAGTATATGCTAGGTTTCCAGTATATGCGAGGTTTCCAGTATATGCTAGGTTTCCAGTATATGCTAGGTTACCAGTATATGCTAGGTTTCTCAGCTCGTATTTAATAAAGAGTCAACATAGTAATTTCAGAATAGGCTAAAAATTTCTTTTATTAACTTGAGATTAGGCTAACAATACCATTAATTACTTGAGATTAGGCTAATAATCCCATTAATAACTTGAGATTAGGCTAACAATCTCTTTTTTAACTTGAGATTAGGCTAACAATCTCTTTATTAACTTGAGATTAGGCTAACAATATCTTTATTAACTTGAGATTAGGCTAACAATCCCATTAATACTTGAGATAGGCTAACAATCCCATTAATACTTGAGATTAGGCTAACAATCCCATTAATAAGTTTAGATTAGGCTAACAATCTCTTTGATAACTTGAGATTACGCTAACAATCTCTTTGATAACTTGTGATTAGGCTAGCAATCTCTTTGATAACTTGAGATTAGGCTAACAATCTCTTTAAATTGAATTTACTGTTACTGAGAGCCTGAAGGTTGTATCAAATTAATTACAGTAGATTCTGGAGTAAAGACTAAAGTCCTGCAAAGTTTAATTGAAAGTTGAAATATAGCCCAGTCTAACCTAACCCATACAGATGGATAACATCTTTAAATCATACAGCAGATTACAACTTTAAAGCCAGCCTAACCTAACCCATACAGATAGATAACATCTTTAAATTATACATCAGATAACAACTTTAAAGCCAGCCTAACCTAACCCATACAGATGGATAACATCTTTAAATCATACAGCAGATTACAACTTTAAAGCCAGTCTAACCTAACCAATACAGATAGATAACATCTTTAAATCTCGCCTAACCCATCACATACAGATAAATAAAATCTTTAAAGCCAGCCTAACCTAACTCATCCAAGCAGATACCAACTTTAAAGCCAGCCTAACCGTACTCATACAAGCATATATCATCTTCAAAGTCAGCTTCGATCCAACTATATGATTATTCTTTTTTAGCTAAAAATCTGACACATGTGAATAGTAATACACTTTTATCATTGTAGTTTTCTTTCGTAAAAGAGACCCAAAAATAATTAATAAAAACTTGTTACTGCTAGAGATGGGAACATTCAGCTTTTTATTTTGTGAATGACCCATTTCCTTCGTTTTTTTCAATTGTAAAAAAAATTATTTTGTTCGTTCGCAAAATTTTTTTTCATTGTCTCACTGAACGATCGTTAATTGAAATCGTTCATTCAGTAAAATTGTTTATTTAGTAAAATCGTTTTTTCCAGTAAAATCGTTCATTCAGTAAAATCCATTGTTGAGTAAAAAGCAGGATCGTTCTTTCAAAAAAAATTTTTTAAAGGGTTCTTGGGTTTAAAAAAGTTATCGTTATTTTAAAAAGGTTGTTTAAAAACCTTCGTTCAGTAAAATCTTTTTTTTTTTAAATCTTTCGGAAAATATTATGATTCAGTATAAAAACGAACAAAATCGTTTATGAACAATAAAAATCGTTCGCAGGATTTTAAATCATTCGTTTTTTAATTTTTTCCCTTCATTTTTCAAAAATGATTGTTTTTTTTTAAATTTCACTAAACGATCAAAGTCGTTCGTCCATCTTTTAAAGGTTTTTATTCACTCTATATTTTCAAGAATTCACGAAGCGTTGTTGGAGAGAAAAAAGTACAAAATGATTCCCTAAAATAAAGAAATCAGCAATTAAACAAATACAAGAAATATAAACATTTCCCCTTTGCAATTAAACATTTCTGTCAGAAACGCGTCAAAAGATTTTAAATATAAGTATATCTAAGTTTTATGCTTGTACTTTTCGATAGGTACCGGTCATTCATATTAATATTCCTTTTTTAAAAATAAAAAAAATAAAAACATTACATTTTCTTTTGAGATTTGAAAATTTGAATATTTAAAAAGAAAAACTTCAAACATTTTCTGATTTAAAAGTTGCCCGTAATGTGTGTATGGATGTCTGTAAATGGGATTAGGATATGAATGATTCTCAGACCATTAATCCAGGAATGCTGCTGCATCATAACTTATCATGAATTAATCTTTAAAAACCCCTCCAGATCCTTTTATACACGAAACATTAAAAAGGCCGGGGAGAGAAAAAGTTAATAATAAATTAATTAAACCACTTTTAATAATCCGAATTGTAAAAAAATTACAAAAATTAAGCTTTAAAGAAATGCACACATGCATACAATTATTCGATAATTAAAATATTCCATTTTCTAAATGTCTCGACAATAAAATAAGATTATATGATGATTCGGGTAGCATTTTATTTCTCTTCAAAAGTTTGCTCTATCACATGATGTCTCAGACACAATCTTTAAGATGCGCTTTGAGGTATTTGTCACAAGTAAACAAAACAAAAAACACGTTCTGTTGAAAAGTTAGACAATAACAATGACAGTACATTAGTAGTGTTATCAAAACTTTGCTTGTCTTGTCTGTTTAAAAGCAGTACATTTGGAGAGAAAGTACTTTATATTAAACTTCCTTTACTTACATTTTACATTGTTGCAAAGTTACAGCCCATAAAGAACCCAGGTATTCCATGATGGGAGTTTTTCCAACTTTAAACAACCGGTAATAACTCGGTTATATGTGCAAATAATAATTAGAATGTGTTTCAGAAAAATATGTAACAGGTGATGGTTTTTATACAGCAGAGGGTGAATTATTAATCCTTATCTGGCCTGCGGACTAGATATTCTATATGATAACAATAAAAAGAAGTGTTTGCCCTTGGCAAAAATATGAAATGCACCTCTGGGGATCGACTGAACAATGCAATCCCCTGTGCAATCAAACCAAATAGTGTAATAAACAACCGCCATGTTGGATCAGGATTCCCGCCAGGCGCACATGCCGCAACAGTAAAAACTAATATAACATTAAACAGTGATTACAAAATCAAAGCAAACACTCAACAAAATCTAAATTATAAGTTTGGTTCCAAGCACAATAATCAACCAACTGGACCAATTCAGAACGGAACTGAATTAGCTGTTTCTCCATATGGATCAGCTGTTTCCCCGTATGGATCAGCTGATCAACGAAGTGAGGGGCCCACCTACCAGCGACCTCCAGGGATTCAAACGCTACAAGTTCCCGGAGTGCCAGGAGGGAGTCAAGGAGGTAGACCAGTGGTTTCTACAGCTGCTAGACGGGGAAATAATGTAGCTGCATCAAAAAGAACAAGATTTGCTCTTCAGGTAAAAATTAAAATTAAATTTTTAAAAAAAAAAATGTTTGTATCTGAGGTTGTCAAATTTATGGGAAATTACTGGCACGACTTTGTGACCCAGTAGATTCGCTAGTTTTGATCTTATGCCCAAGTATAAGCAAAACAAATTCATTTCAATTCCATTTTAGAAGTTGCATTTATACACCCCATTTTATACATTGTTGAGTGTACAGTGTACACGTAATTTTAATTGAGTGGCATATTTGACTTAAAACAGTATAATCCTGAACACCTTCTTTTGTGAAAAAATCATACAGATATTTTTCCATCTTACAATTGATAATTTTGAATTGTTGCTACTCTGGTGTTGCTGCAGAAGTAAAGACATAAATTGACAGTCCTTGACACTTTTTAATAAAGCAAAAGGACTTTCCTCATTGTTTCTAAAATGAAGGAGAATCGTGTGCTAATTTGAAGGTCATTTGAAATTACGTCTTCAGTCTCTTTAGACATAAGAGCATTTATCATAAACCTAGATTAAAATTTATTTCTGAGTTTGTAATTACATTTTCACGAGAAATAAACCTAATTTATCTCAATCTATACTTAATTGAAGAATCTAAGAAAGATCTTTCATCAATAACATTTCCTTAATTTTTACATTTTTCCTTCAAGTTTTCACTGGTCAGGGAACTATAAATCAATATTATAAAAACATCTGTTTTACCATCTCATGTATCCTTAAAGGGACAGACCGGCTATGTAAGGTAGTTGAACTGAGTATGCAGTGTTGTGGAAAGCTTTTTTAGGATTCATTTGAGACATATAAAACTTTTTAAAGATCTGTAAATCCTGAGTTTGAGCTCAAATTCGACGTTAAAAACTCCTACTTTGAGGGTGGATACGTTTTCAGAATCGGTTTTTTTAAATTATTAAATAACGAAAACGAAAAATAAAGTAAAAATTGTGCAGTGATTTAATTTATAGATGGTTAGGAACATTTTTCTCAAAAGAAATTTGTCAATAAATCAATGCTAGAATCAATTATATTGTTTTCATCATTATATTGAATTTCTTATTTTCTATGAATTTGTTCGCAGATTTCTTCAACTTCTTCAAATGTCGTTTTTTCTATAATAATTCCAGAAAATATACAGAATTTCTTTGTGAATAATTCTGAAAACGTATCTACCCCCAAAGTAGGAGTTTTGAATGTCGAATTTGCGCTCAAACTCAGGATTTACTGATCTTAAAAAGTTTTATATGTCTCAAATGAATCCTAAAGAATTTGTTCACAATACTACATACTCAGTTCAACTACCTTACATAGCCGGTCTGTCGCTTTAAGTGAAAAGGCGTCCTCCGCTAATGTTTTATATTAAAAGGACTGTAAGCGTAAATTCAAGTGATTAGTATTAAAGGGACTGTAAGCGTAAATTCAAGTGATTAATATTAAAGGAACTGTAAGCGTAAATTCAAGTGATCAATATTAAGTGTCCCTACAAGAAAAAATGACAATTTCCGATTTACAACGGAACTCTTGAAACCTTTACTGGATTGAAAATGTGAAGATTTTTTTTTTTACTCGAAAAGTGTTCAGTTCTGTGAGTTTCTCTATTGCTTCTTAAAAACAAGAAATGCGCAAGTCACTTTTGCAGAGAACCCGCAAATGAAAATAAAAAGTTTAAAGGATTAAATCTTTTTATATCTTTTCATATCTAATTCATACGTGATTAGACAAATCTTTTAAGGGTACTGCTGTAAATTGGGCATTGTCATCCTCATTATAGAAAGCTTATAATTTGTGTCTTAGTTGTCATGTTTAGTCGGACACCCTGTACCATTTTATTTTTGAAGGATAGTTCAGAAAAGAAGCCAAAGTAAGTGGAGATAAAAATATTTAGTTTACGCTCATGATCCTCTTTGTTTCAGGTTCAGAAACCTACAGGAGAGGAGTCAATTGAAGGTACAGGGAGTATGACCACACCCTCCCCCCTAGCTAGGAGTCTGTCTCCGAGAGGGCGGGGGCGGGGTCGAGGGGCTCCACCTCGTAGATCACGAAGTCCAGGACCTAAACCCCGGAGTGCTGAGAGGGATGGTGGACCAGGAAATCAGCTACAAGGTAAAGGATTTCAGTCTTATTTTCTAATCTCAATATTATTCCAACCCAATGTCGTAGACAATTACATATTTCAAACTATTAATTCTGTTAGATCAGATATACTAAATTTGAAATATCAAAGGTTTACGCCATCAGGTTGCACAGATAGAGGGCCTAGTAAATTTGAGTTCAGGGCGAAGACTCAATTCCTTTCAGATTTTTATAACTCAAAGAAGGTTTAAAAAGTACCAGTACCTGTAGTAATTTAAATTGACCTTACATTTCACGGACAGCCGTAGTACGTTTGAATTTCCGAGCCGGGTCAACCTTTCCGGTCCCAGTTTATACTGTATCGCCCGGATATTCGGTAAATAAAGCAGACACTCAATAGGACTAGTTGGTGCAACAAGGTTGACGCGGTCAGACTTTAGGTTGAATTTGCTTTTACTGAAGGGCCAGAGGTGCGTGATTTAAAGATGGACATTCCCAATTCACAACTCTAACATTAAACCTTTATTTAATCAATAATATAGAAGATATTGTTGTTTTACTAGCGTAAAAAGTGTTTAACATTGTTCTCAAATGTTTCTGAAACAGAAATTCCCAAGCCACTTTATAGAAAACATATAATTGAAAAAAAAAAATTTCAAAGAGAAATTAGAGTTGCCAGTATTTACCATGCACGCGCTTAAAATTTGAAAATGCGCAAATCGAATGTTAAGAACTAAAAATGAGAAAAACAAATCTTTTTAAAAAACGAGAAGAATAAAGTTTATAAATTGTTTACTGGCCCTTTTTATTCACCCACACTTTAGCATAAATTAAGGAATATGTAATTTATTATACAGCAAAATATTCGTTCTAAACAACACTTTAATGTAATTACAATTTTGAAAAACCAAAACATTATAAAATTAAAAAGGATGGTAAATGTGTGAGTATAATTTTTGAAAATGTTTATTTTTTAATTTTAAACAAATAAAATGTGTAGATCTATTTGGAATAAATTTTTTGCATTATATTTCTCTGAATACGATTTTCTAAGTTCTCGCAAAAAATGTTGCAAAAAAATATTGCATTTAAACTATTTTCAGAAACTTTGTTTTGCAATAAATAAATTCATTTTAAATTTAAAGTTTCGGGAAATATAATTTTGGATAATTTAAAAATAGATAAATATAGTTTCCATTATTTAAGGCTTATATTTTATCTGAAAAAAAATCCAGAGGCGGATACAGGATTGATCAAGAGGGGGGGGGGGTAAACTTTGTCAATTTTCCTGGTAGAGGGAGTCATCTCCTTAGCCCCCCCCCCATTAAAAAGAGTGATCAATTATCAACCTACGTGTCAATCAATACTTTGTTTATAGAAACATCAGATCGAAATGAATACCCCAACCCCCCGCCCCCTTCCTCCCTTTGACAATTTGTACATTGACACTCCTGCAAGCAAGAATACTCGTATATTTCTCTATATATAAAGTTTGTTTGTTTGTTCGATCATAACTCAGAAACCCCTGGACCGATTTGTCGAAAATTTTGATTTGGCAACTCGATGTTTAGCTTGGTGTGGAGATTCTAAATTGATAGGATCCACTTTTAACGGGACAAATAGCTAAAGTCGTAATTTACGACATGGGGCTGCAGTAAACGATGGGGCTAAATATGACTCCCCTGGGCCGCGCTGGGTTCCCAAGCTTGTATGAAATAAGGTTTGTAAGTTTATAGAAACATGAAGTTTAAATTCCTAGAATGAGATGCAAGTTTGATAAATTGTCTAATCTCAAGGGCTTTATTTGATCATTTGTCGTGGGGTAGATTGTGGAAACAATATAACGGGGAAAGGGGGTACGGAAGGTTTCCTATCCTCTTTACACCTGTCTACCCCTTCATTCCTTTGTTCTCAAACTTTTTAGTATTTAGAAGAATACTTAATCAAGAGATGCTAAATTGTTGAATTCTACAACATAGAATTAATCTAGAGATTAATAACAAGAGGAGAACAAGCATAATTTAATCTCGAGATTAAGAAAAAGAGTGGATCAAGCAATAATCTCGATATCCACCATTCAAAAGTTCCCAGCTCAGTTAATTTCAAGTACAAGACCGACTTTTAAGCAGATAGAGCAAGATGAACAGTACACATACAGACTATAGTATGGCAAAACAGGACAGTGTGTCCAATGAATTAAAATTAAGATTTTCTATTCTTTGTAATTATTCAGAAGTTGGACCCCCCCCCCCATATAAAAAAGACTACAGTTACTGCACCAACCCACATTTACCTGGTCCATGGACCCAAACTCAAATCTTGGACCCCTCCCAGCCCCGATCCATTAACTCCCTCTTTCCACTCCGGTCCTTGAAACCCATTGTCCTTAGCCCCCTCCCCTCCCTGGACCCCCTCCTTCCCGGTGGCTGGAAACCAAATTAAATTCATCCCCCGGTCCCTGGACCCCTCTTTACTAGAACACATTCCTAATCCTTGGACTGGAACCCGAATCCCCAAATTGAACCCATCTCAAGACCCTGGACCCCCTCCTCTCCTCTACTGGAAACCATCCCTGGTCCCTGGACCACGTCCTCTACTGGAAACCATCCCTGATCCCTGGACCCCCTCATCTACTGGAACCCATCCCTGGTCCCTGGATCCCCTTCTATACTGAAAAACCATCCCCGGTCCCTGGACCCTCTTCTTTACCGGAAACCATCCCTGGTCCCTGGACACCCCTCCCCACATTACTGTCACTTGTTTAATGATGCCCTCGGCCCGGTCTAAAAATAGAACCAAGGACTGGAGAACCACTTTAGAATTATATACCAGGATAAAGGGAACATTGGTAAATATCAACATTTATCAGAAATAAAAAGAATGTTTGCAAAAATCAACATGTACCACGGATATCACGAATAAAGAGAATGTTTGAAAATAACAAAATATGTACCACGAATACCACGGATAATGCACGTTAAACTGAATGGAAATGTGAAAATATCAACATATGTACCACGAATACTACGGATAAAGCACGTCAAACTGAATGGAGATGTGAAAATATCTACATATGTACCACGAATACTACGGATAAAGCACGTTAAACTGAATGGAGATGTGAAAATATCTACATATGTACCACGAATACTACGGATAAAGCACGTCAAACTGAATGAAGATGTGAAAATATCTAAATATGTACCACGAATACTACGGATAAAGAGAATTTTTGCAAATATCAATATATGTTCCACGGATAAAGAGAATGTTTGAAAATATCAACATGTTTCACGGATATCACGGATAAAGAGAATGTTTGAAAATATCAACATGTTTCACGGATATCACGGATAAAGAGAATGTTTGAAAATATCAACATGTACCACGGATATCACGGATAAAGAGAATGTTCGCAAATATCAACATGTTCTCTTAAGCATATTGATTGTTTTAGTTAAATCTAAGAAATAAGCATTTTGCTACAGAACCGTAATTTCAAAAAAACATCGAAGAAAGATTGATCATGAACATAAGAAAGAATTCAACAATAATTCAGGAATAGCGAAAACTTCAAGGAAGGAAAATTGTGAACTGAAAATTTGATCATATCGATTATTGTTTGCATATTTTCCTTTAGTTTTATTTTTTTTTGTCAAAATATTTTTATTATGTTCATATTTCAGGCTCACAGCTGGTTGCCTCCGATACCAGGCATGTTGATCAGAGGTAAATCAATATACAAAGTATCATCAAAAATTCACAACAAAACTCCTTAAGCTTTATGCCTGGATTGAGATTGTCGATAATATCTTCAGTTTCTTAATATAAAAATTATTGAAACCAATTCGTGGATTTCTGAACGAGCTTTTCTAATTTCTAACTTTAATTTGATCTAAAGGAATTCATAGTTTGAAATACCTAAAGCTTACGACTTTGGGTTTCAAAGGTGCAGGGATTAGAAAATTAGAGTTTGTCGCACAGACTTGATTCCTATGTGTAATTACCGTGAAACTCTGTGATTCGCTCTTTAATTTAAAGTTTAAAAATATGAAGGTGTTTTGAAGGCATCAACATAAAACATGAACAATTATCAAAATTAAATTAAATTTTTAGAATATAAATGCGAACTAGAAACATGTAAAAGATGTGTAAAATTATGCATCTTTTGAGCACTTTTTAATCGTTGAAAACTTTGCAAGTTCTCAAAACAAGAAGATGGAAACTAAAACTTCTTAATTAATTAAAACTTTACAAAAGAGACTGTGTGTAGAAATTTTTTAATAATAAAAACAAAAGATATTCTGTTAACATTGGTCAATGCAAAAACATTTTACTGTGCATTTTTCAAATTTTAAGTGTGCAAATTAATTGTTTTTATGAAACTATTGTGTACTTTATCATTCTTCCTCACTTCATCGTGAATTTCATAATGAACGTATACTATGAAGTGCAAAACTATTGTGTACTTTATCATTCTTCCTCACTTCATCGTGAATTTCATAATGAACGTATACTATGAAGTGCAATAAAGTTAAATTAGCTGTACATTAAAGCACATGTGCTCTGACGTTTTGATAAGTTCCCGGATTTTCTTCAAAAAATTTAGGATAATTCTCCAAAATAATCTTTTTCAACTGAAATAAAAATAAAATTGAAATCAACCTTATTTTTTTCTTCTGCTTTGTTTCAAAGCTTATTTGATCTATAGAAATAGCCATTGACAAGTACACAAATGTTTCAAAATATTTTTAAATTATATTTTGTCCCACGCTAAAGCTCGGGACAAAATTAAATCTAAAAGGCTTGAACCTTCTCGATAAAGAGAAAATTTCTGTCCAAAAACTTGATAACACTGCGAACCAAAATAACAGTGTTATAAATAGTTATAATCGTGCACAGAAAAGTTTATATTTGACAAAGATCGAACAGTCTCTTTTTAATAGAATATTGTACAGTGTACAGTGTACAGTGTACACCTTTAAAAAAAATCAATTGTGTCGTTTTAAAGCTTAAAAGCAATTCATCATTTATAGTAAAAATATTTTAATATGGAATTTTTCTCAAAACAGGAAAATGGGGGGGGTAAATCTATAGAAGTAGGATAAATCCAGAAATAGTTTTATTGTAAAAAACGACATTGCTCTGATAAAGTCATCTCTAACCCTATTCATTTTTAACAACTTTTATGTTTAGTATATCTTTTCTTACTTTTTCAATCGTTTTAGTCTTTTCTTTACAACATTGTCATTGTTTTCTTTAAAAATTCGTCATTGTTTTCTTTACAACTTTGTCATTGTTTTATATAGAACTTCGTCATTGTTAACCTTACACCTTTGTCATTGTTTTCTTCACAACTTTGTCATTGTTTTCTTTACAACTTTGTCATTGTTTTCTTCACAACTTTGTCAATGTTTTCTTTACAACTTTGCCATTGTTTTCTTTACAACTTAGTCCCTGTTTTCTTCACAACTTCGTCATTGTTTTCTGTTTTCTTTACAACTTCGTCATTGTTTTCTTTACAACTTCGTTATTGTTTTCTTTAAAATTATGCCATTGTTTTCTTTACAACTTCCTCGTTGTTTTCTTTACAACTTCGTCATTTTTTTCTCTACAACTTTGTGATTGTTTTCTTTACAAATTTTGTATTTTTGCAGCCTGGTGGTGTAAACCTTTGATATTTAAAATTTCTACAATCATATCTAACAGAAGTCATAGTTCTTAGGTCTACGATATCAGGTTGCTAAGATACAAGTATTAGAGTTTAAGGCGATTAATTACTTTTTTGAACCAAATTGAATAAATGAATTATTTAAGGATCCCAATAAACGGGCAATCAGCGGATGAACTTCGTCCTAGTAACGGTCAACCTCGAGGTCCTCAGGAACCCTGGCGACCTCCGCAAGGGGATATTAATCCAGCCTCAGACCTCGAGGCATCTGGTTGTAGTCCTATAACTCTGGAGTATGCTGAGGACCTTCTACTTTTAGCTAAAAAGGTAAAATATACTTGAAATATACTTGAAATATACTTAAAATATACTTTATTTAACTAAAATGTTCACGGATTATAATATTATGCAAAAGACGAAGACTATATCCTGTATAATATATCAGATGATGGATATATCCTGTATAATATATCAGATTAAGGATATATCCTGTATAATAAATCGGATGAAGGATATATCTTGCATAATATATTAGATGAAGGATATATCCCGCATAATATATTGGATGAAGGATATATCCTGCATAATATATCGGATAAAGAATATATCCTGCATAATATATTGGATGAAGGATATATCCTGCATAATATATTGGATTAAGTATATATCCTGCATAATATATCGGATGAAGGATAAATCCTGTATAATATATCGGATGAAGGATGTATCTTGCATAATATATTAGATGAAGAATATATCCTGCATAATATATTGGATGAAGGATATATCTTGCATAATATATCGGATGAAGGATATACCCTGTATAATATATCGGATGAAGGATGTATCTTGCATAATATATTAGATGAAGAATATATCCTGCATAGTATATTAGATGAAGGATATATCCTGTATAACATATTGGATGAAGGATATATCCTGTATAATGTAGTGGATGAAGGATATATCCTGTAAAAAGGTAAAATATACTTGAAATATACTTGAAATATTCTTAAAATATACTTTATTTAACTAAAATATTCACGGATTATAATATTATGCAAAAGACGAAGACTATATCCTGTATAATATATCAAATGAAGGATATATCCTGTATAATATATCAGATAAAGGATATATCCTGTATAATAAATCGGATGAAGGATATATCTTGCATAATATATTAGATGAAGGATATATCCTGCATAATATATTGGATGAAGGATATATCCTGTATAATATATTATATGAAGGATATTTCCTGTATAATACATTGGATGAAGGATATATCCGGTATAATATATTGTAAGGATGATATATCCTGTATAATATATTGGATGAAGGATATATCCTGTTTAATATATTGGATGAAGAATATATCCTGTATGATATATTGGATGAAATATATACCCTGTATAATATATTGGATGAAGGATATATCCTGTAAAATATATTGGATGAAGGATATATCCTCTTTAATATATTGGATGAAGGATATACCCTGTATAATATATCAAATGAAGGATATATCCTGTATAATATATTGGATGAAGGATATATCCTATATAATATATTGGATGAAGGATATATCCTCTATAATATATATGATGAAGGATATATCCTGTATAATATATTGGATGAAGGATATATCCTGTATAATATATTGGATGAAGGATATATCCTGCATAATATATTGGATGAAGGATATATCCTGCATAATATATCGGATGAATGGTATATACTGGTGTGAAGAGAGAAAGCTTGTAATATATCGAGGGGATAATTTATGTTATTAGATTGAATATATCACTACACCGATCCAACATAATCTCCGAACACACCTCTTTAGAAACATTTCTTTTTTCTATTTTTGTCATGGTCACTAAACAAAGCTTTACGCACCTTTATATATATTGATTTGACAGAGTGCTTGCGCAAACCCATTCTAATTTTTATTTTCATGTCATTATAAGATCATAAATTAAAAATACAAGAAAAAGTATAACAACTGAATTTTAAAACTTTATCATATCTGGGTTTGATAATCTTTTCAAAATATAATTCATCCATTTCTTCATATTCATCCATTCCTCAATTATAACCCCCCCCCCTTCACAAATTTTTGCTTAAAGTGAATTTTTTTCTGTTTTCTTAAAACCATTTAAAAGATTACTTTGTGTGTAAACTTCGTTTGTTAAACATGTCCTACACTATTAAAAACATGTCTCACACTATTAAAAACATGTCTCACACTATTAAAAACATGTCTTACACTATTAAAAACATGTCCTACACTATTAAAACATGTCTTACACTATTAAAACATGTCTCACACTATTAAAACATGTCCCACACTATTAAAACATGTCTTACACTATTAAAACATGTCTTACACTATTAAAAACATGTCTTACACTATTAAAACATGTCTCACACTATCACTATTAAAACATGTCTTACACTATTAAAAACATGTCTTACACTATTAAAAACATGTCCTACACTATTAAAAACATGTCTTACACTATTAAAAAACCTAGATCACACTATTACTCACACTATTAAAAAACCTAGATTAAAAAATTCAGGCAATACCTGACAAAGAAAGATGAGAACAATGTATCAAGCCTAACAAATAAATTTTACTTTAACCATAAAAAGGCTGGAGGGTCTGGTATTATACTCATAGTCTTGCCCCTCCCTCTCTCTCTCCCATTAGCAAAGTTTATTGTTTATTTTATTGAGATGGGTTTAAAAAATAGAAATAAAACGTTAAAAGAAATTTACAAAAAAAATTTTTTCATCTTTTATAAAAAATGTGATGTGACACATTTATTTTTTGAGGGATGGTTAAATACGTAAATATTAGCCATTAGCTTCATACTTCAAGATTCTGACAGAGACGTAATTTAAAATGACTCTCCATTTAAAGAATGGCCGATTCACTATGCTACTTTTTAAACCTCAATTCAAGTAATAATGAAATATTGTCGTTTTTATATTTTCAAAAGAGTAAATTTCTGAAAATTCTAATGAGTAAAATCCTTAAGTCACTTCTACAGAGAAACCACAATTAATCATTAAGCTAATATAAGTCCCTTCAAATGATGAAGAACTTAATAAGAACTCCAAATTACGGATTACATTTTTAAAGTGATATGAAAAACAACTAGAATGGGGGAGGGGGCTAAAATCGCCCCCCCCACATCCTTCCCATGTTTCCCATTTTGGGTTAAAATGATAAAAGCTTTGTTCTGAAGAATAAAGTTTCCCTGTAGACATAAAGATAATAAAGGAAGAACTTAATTGCTTTTCATTCTCTGCTCTTTTTCTCTCTTTTTGGATATCCTATTTTGTTTTGACTAACGAGAGTCCACTCGACATGAAATGGCGCGCAAAATTTCAAATTTCTCGGCTTCTCTGAATTGGCTTTTCCGGTTTCTTCAAACGCCACTAGATTGGTTTAATTATAAACACTTTTGTGGACACAACCTTAAATTTGTATTTATCTTAAGATTAACAAAAAGAGAAGCTTTAAGCTGAAGAATGTCTGAATATAGATATTTTGTGTTAAATATGTCATATTTGTGCAGATATTTGTTAAGATATATTTGTGTTTATATTTGAAGCCAATTGTTTGAAATATTTACATCTAGTATTTGATATTTCGTAAAAATCTTTCAATACATTTTACCTCTTGGCAACATTACAAACAGAATAATTTTATTCGTTATTTAAAGTAAAGAAATTGAGTCATTGCCACAATCTCGAATTTTCTCATCCCTTTATCATGGCAACTTGATGATGTAAACCTTTGATATTTCAAACTAAAATTATTTGATCCAGCAGAATTCATAGTTTGAAATATCTAAGGTCTACAACATTGGGTTATGGAGATATAGGGGTTAGAAAATCCGAGTTTGTGGTAAAGATTCCTTTAACAGAACTAAGGCCAAATTTTAAAAATTTGAGCAGGGGCCTAAATTTGAGACGCGGCTCAAAAATGGTTGGTTTAATTTAAAATTGTATTCAATTTTTCAAGATTTAAGCTGGCGCTCAATTTAAACCGTTTTTTGGGGGGATTTGAGACGCGGCTCAAATTCATTAAATTCGGACTCTGATTTCACAAACTCAAATTTTGAAATTTAAACAACTTTTCAAGCTCCGAATTAAATTAAAATTTTAAATATAAATGGCTTTCACCATCAGGTTCCAAATATATATACATCTATCAAAGTTTGAGGCAAGTTTTCAGTTCTTTTTGACAGTTTATAACACATTTTTCTTTAAAAAGTGACACATTTACTAAACTAAACAACTAAAATGTCGGACAAACTGCAAAATATTCTTAACAATACAGAAAAAATCTAGAAAACAAGCAAAACATTAATTCTTAACACAATTGTTAAAAAGTTTCTAAGGGCTCGATCTGAAAAGTCCTAAACTTGTTTTCCTCCATGTGTATGGAAAATTTAATCTTATATATTGTTATTTTTCTTCTATTTCTCCAATGTTTTGTGCCAAAAGTGGGAGTAAAAACTAAATTGTTGAATTCGAGTTGAGATTTGTATATTTTACCAGTTAAACTTAATTTGGTTCTATATCTGAATAATACAAAGAATAAATGAATAATATAGATTAAATGTTTCCCAGACGGTCCAGATTTGTTTAATTCTTATAAATATGTTCATAGAAATATATGATAGAATGGACGTATACACCATATTAATGAAAATGCTGTCCATCGTGAACTGTTTCACATAGATCCAAGTTGCATCAATTTTCAAGACAGGGTCAATTTTTAAGTGTTGTAATGCCTTGGCCTTTATCTCACTAACTCACTTATTTTATGTAGCTCTCGACATGTACATTTCCAAACTTAAAGCAATTGTTTTTAGCAGTAGTTTTAAAGAAGGAATTAATAAAATTCGCATATAATTTTGCGTGGAGCTTGCAATCTTTGGATCCTAGTGGTATGTAAACTTACTGTCAAATGACCCTTCTACGTTAGAACTAAACTTTTCCTTCCCTTTTTAAGCAGCGTACTTCATGCAGTATATTGTGTACTGTATGTAAACTTACATACAGGGAAGTTAAACTGTCCTTTAAACTTCTGAGGAAGTTTGGGTTTTTGCCGGTGGAAATACAGCATGGTTACTGGTTATTATACAATCATCGTCGTATATATCAATACAGTGAAGACCATTTTAAATTTACATTTTTTCTTATAAGCTTTTAAGTAGCATTAATACACATAAACATGTAAACAAAGATAATTTGGTAATTACCAGCTTCTCTTTGTTTACTTGTAAACATGTTAGAATGTTAGAAATCAAAACTTAAATAGAAAAGTCATCTTAATTGTGTTGATATAAACGCCGACCACTATATAGCAACCTGCTGCACGTTTCCTTCTTCTTTTATATATTTAGTCTATGATTTGCACAGAGGGTCAAAGGAAATACAGAATACATAAACATTCTTGGAAATATTAAACTTCAACAACGTTTTGAGAATTATCAAACTTCAACACTCTTCCGTGAATTATTAAAATATTTTACTTACCTTGAGATTATAATGTATCTAATATTATGTAGATATACTACTAATTATTCTACTTTTATTTAAATATTAAAAAAATTATTTTTTTTTATCTAATTTTGTTCAAAATATGTTAAAGTCTATCAGAACCATCATCAGCAAACTCCAAGGCTTCAAATACATCCTCATCATAACTCTACATGGGTTCCTGAGGATTAATCAACAATAAAGACAATAACAGTAACAATAATTGCAGGGTCGAAGTATTGGTGTCGAGGTGTGTGATGTTGTAAAGACTAGACCTGGTGGAGGGTTTGTTTACATATTTCACAATCAGGACAAACCTTATGCTTGGAAGGAAGGCTATTTTTAAAAACATAATTTAAAAATTATTTGTTCAAAAATCGATCTTATTTTTAAAGAAAATATTTATATTATTGTAAAAAGTTTTTTTCCTTATTGTCCCTCATTTCTCTAAACATGGTTTACTTATTCAGGGATTAAATATAAACTACACAAAGTATCCAAACAGAAGATATTAACAGCAACTTGTAATTTTTTGGCCGTTATATAGTTTTTATATTTTTTTTTAAATAATTCACAATTTTAAAAGCCTGGTACATTTTCAAAGTAAAAGCTGCAAATGTCCTTTTTACTTTTTCTTTTGGTGTTGCAAACCTGGTAACCGCCAAAAAATTTCTCTAAAAAAGGTTTTCGGAAATAAAGTCCTAAATTTTTGCACTAAAAAGTTTTGTGGAAAAAGTCCTTGAAATAAAAAGTCTCTGTAGATAAAGTCCTAAACCATCTTAAGACTTTATTTAATAGAAAAAAGTCCCAGTATCTAAAACTCAGGACTTTATTGCCAGTGACATTTGAGAATTTTGAAAATTGGGACATTTTCACCAAAGTTTTTATCTCCAGGTTTTTTTCAGAATTTTTTTTCCGGTGACTTTCTTACATAGATTCTGTAAACCTATAGCCTGAAATATCTCCAGGATGAGGACGGGTATAGTTGGGTACAAATTCTCCACCAGATGTCTCTGCATACTGCAAAAGGAAAACAATCAAAAATTAAAAAAGAAGAAGAAAAGTTTTCGAAAAAGGCATTTTTGTTATCGGGAGGTAGTTGAACTACAGCACGGTTAGCTTAACTAGTTCTCCTAGGCTACCTATCTTAACTTGGACATGTATTTGAATCAGCCGTGTATAGTTCAACTTCCTCTCTCTGTTCATGATTTCCCAACTTCGATGGCATAGCAATATATTTTTTTTACATCATGTAAACATCATTTTTCAGAAATGCTTCTTGTCCAGAATTATTTATTAATTACCTCCAGCCATGCATGATTTCTCGCTGATGAATTTACAAGAAGGAACCCCTCATGTTAGTTAAATGTTAGTTAAAGTAAAAAGTATTCTGCAGTTTTCGGGAGGAATGTAAACAAAGCTAAACTTGTTTTTTGTAAACAAATATGGGGGTTCCTGTTGTATCTTCTTTGAGTGTACTGTACTCATAGAGAACAGAATATATAGAGAGGAATTAAAAGAATCTCTCGGTATGAATTTTTTCAGTCCCTTTCAGCCTGAAAGGGAGTTCAAAGTTTAGTAAATTCCTCTCTATATATTCTATTCTCTATGACTGTACTGTACTGTCACATTTGTATTTACTGCAATTTTGTTGTTTATCTCAGGCAATGCGTTGGACTACTACCACTTCTATATAGAGCTACCAGGCAGAAACTCAGATAGAACTAGATCCAATCCAAGCTTCAGGAATTAAAACTTTTTATCCGCGTACAGTACAGACTTAGCATACACTGTACAGTACAGAGATAGCATACACTGTACAGTACAGAGTTAGCATACACTGTACAGTACAGAGTTAGCATACACTGTACAGTACATCAAGTTAGCATACACTGAACAGTACAGAGTTAGCATACACTGAACAGTACAAAGTTAACATACACTGTACAGTACAGAGTTAGCATACACTGTACAGTACAGAGTTAGCATACACTGTACAGTACAGAGTTAGCATACACTGTACAGTACAGAGTTAGCATACACTGTACAGTACAGAGTTACATACACTGTACAGTACAGAGTTAGCATACACTGTACAGTACAGAGTTAGCATACACTGTACAGTACAGAGTTAACATACACTGTACAGTACAGTTAGCATGCACTGTACAGTGCAGAGTTAGCGAGTTACCCAAAAAGGTTGAGACGACTAAACAAAGTTTATATTGTCTGTTTACTTATATTCTCTGCACTAAATTTTGTTGTTGTTGTCTAATTATTGAATAAGCCATAAAAAGACTATATTTAAGGCATAAGACTTTATCTATAACCTTAAAAGAGTTTCAAGTCGTCTTTGCAGTCTCATCCTTTGTGGTTAATCCTGTATGTTTAGACTGTACAGTACATGTAGAATAAACAGTACATGTAGAATGAACATTACATGTAGAATGAACAGTACATGTAGAATTATTAGTATATGTAGAATGAACAGTACATTGTAGAATAACCAATACATGTAGAATAAATACTACATGTATAGAATGAAACACTGACTAACGAGACTGCTCATATGCTCTACCTGGATAGGCTGAGCAGGCCTATAGTGTCCCGGTTCTATGAGAGTTTTTTTTTACTGCCATCAAACGGCCACTTGTTGCATATAATACCCATTCAGGGGTTTACGCCTTACAACCTTTAAAGAAATATTCCAATTTTTAACATGAAACAAAAAAATTATGAATTTTGTTTATATTTAAAGGTTTTGTATTTCGAATCTAAAGGATCTTTAAATATCCTTAAATACAGATGTCTGCTGATTGGTCGTGTACAGTACTTGTATATAAATGAACCTGCTGTGGAAAATATCGCATATCATAGGTTGCAATGATCTCTTTTACTCGCTTATCTCTGGAATGAACAGTACATGTAGAATGCACAGTGCGGATAGACTTAAAAGTACGTGTAAACTGAACAGAGCTGAAAACTTTAGAATGAGATATCCTTAATCCCAATTACTTTATCCGAGTATCCATTAGACACACTTTTAATTTTCTTCTTAAACCGTTCTTTCTTTGATAGTAGAGAAAAATCAAAAACCGGTTTTTAAATTTAGAGAGGCTCTCCCGTTTCTGTATATAATCTTAAATGGCGCGCAAAATTTAAAATTTATCGGCTTCATATACGCGACACTGATTGGTTGAATTTTATATACTTTTCAGGATACAAGTACAAGATTAGGTTAGTCTCGATATTAAGAAAAAGAGAAGATCAAGCATTAATCTCAATATCCACCATTCTAAAGTTTTCAGATCAGTAGTTTAAACTTTACTGTGCGTGTAAACGGTACACTACAGTACGTGTAATCTGTACAGTACGTGTAAACTGTACAGTACTTGTAAACTGTACAGTACGTGTAAACTGTACAGTACGTGTAAACGGTACAGTACGTGTAAACTGTACAGAACGTGTAAACTGTAAAGTACGTGTAAACTGTACAGTACGTGTAAACTGTACAGTGCGTGTAAACGGTACAGTACAGTACGTTTAAACTTTACAGCACGTGTAAACGGTACAGCACAGTACGTGTAAACTGTAAAGTACGTGTAAACTGTACAGTATGTGTAAACTGTACAGTACGTTTAAACTGTACAGTACGTGTAAACTGTACAGTACGTGTAAACTGTACAGTACTTGTAAACTGTACAGTACGTGTAAACTGTACAGTACGTGTAAACGGTACAGTACGTGTAAACTGTACAGTACGTGTAAACTGTACAGTACGTGTAAACTGTACAGTACGTGTAAACTGTACAGTGCGTGTAAACGGTACAGTACAGTACGTGTAAACTGTAAAGTACGTGTAAATTGTACAGTACGTGTAAACTGTTCAAATCCTTTATATATTTCTAATATCTGGATCTTAATTTTGAAATGAAAACCAACGACAATTAAGAACTATTCAGTCAAGAGAATGCAGTATTTAAAGTTACCATGCGCGTAATTTTAATATTTTCTAGAATTTTTTGTTAAACTGTCTCAAGAGAATTGTAGACTATTTTCCCACTATCAGCAGGATTTTAATTAAAATCTCAGTTTTCGTTCATCATGTTCTTACAAAGCTATTCAAAGGAAATTTTCTTTTCTTTTTAAAGCTAGAAATTAAGGTTAAAATTTTTCCTTCGGAATCAAGGACTTTGTCTTTTATAGAGTATATTATATAGAATACAGAGTATATAAAATAAGATGTCCTTTTCTTATACCACAGTTTTATGGATCGCACTGCATACACAAAAATGAAAATAAAAGAAATACAACAAAAAATTAGAATTTGTGAAACATACTAAATTCAGAAATTAAAAAAACATTTTACAGAATTTGGAATCGTAGAAAACATTATACAAGATTCAGAACTTTAAAAACAGTATACAGAATTCAGAATTAAGAAAACATTATGCAAAATACATAATATAGAAAACATTATACAAAATACAAAATCTAGAAAAAAATATACAGAATACAAAATTCTAGAAAACATTATACAGAATTAAGAATTTACAAAACATTATACAAAATTCAGAATCTATAAAAATCATACAGAATTCAGAATCTAGAAACCATTATACAGAGTTCAGAATCTAGAAACCATTATACAAGATTCAGAACTTAAAAAACAGCATACAGAATTCAGAATTAAGAAAACATTATACAAAATACAGAATCTAGAAAACATTATTCAGAACACGGAAATAGGTTTGATTGTATAGAAAGGAAGCCTACAAGCTTGATGATTTTACGCTGGTTGCGTATATAGGAAAAAGGTAATTTTTATTCCAAAATTCAAACCTACCAAATAGCTCTTTATTGTGATTAGTTGTTGAAGATTATTTAAAAATAGAGAACATTCTCTTTGATGTGTATTTATGTTGAGTTTATATTTAGTGATATAGTTGAGAGGAGGGAGAAGGGTTCAGGTTCAGGTTCAGGTTCAAGAAGAGAACTCACTCCAAGTACCAATAATATACACAAACAACTCCAGGTTATTACATAATATAGATTAAACCCATTCGATCTACAGGTTATGTTTAGACAGATGGATTCTACCTTGAAAACAGACTATAATATATATAGACTGATAGACATACAAGAGGGACTGATAACATTAACATATAGACGAATGTACGAATAGACGGATAGATACTTGTGTACGGATAAACAGATAGACATTGGTTGTACGTAACCAAGGACACTAATTCCCAAAAATATGGAAATCTTGATTCCAATTTTACTAAAATATACTAAATGACCAACTCCCTTAAATTTTTATTCTAAAATGTATTAAAAAATTAATATCCCTGAATTTAAAAAATCTTTAGAAAAGTTAACTCTTAGGATTAATGTTTCACTTTATATTTGCTGAAATGATCAAAATATTATTGGATTTTATAAATCAAACGTCTCGTATTCCGTTATAGCTTAAAATGACAAATATATGGGGTCAAGAAAAGCCCCCCCCCCCCCTCTCCTCCAATTGTTTAATGGGTTCATTTATATCTTCATTATGCAGGGTTTGAGTCAAGTAAGCGGGCTATCTCGTGATCAGCAAATAGCTCAGCTTTTAGGTAAACTATTTTATAATCTATAGTCAACTCTTTATCTTCCCGGTTTATCAATATTTAATCATTTTATATCCCTAGTCAGCTCTTTATCTTCCCGGTTTATCACGACTTTATTATTTTATATTCCTAGTCATGCTTTTTATTTTCCCGGTTTATCAAGATTTAATCATTTTATATCCCTAGTCAAATTTTTATCTTCACGGTTTATCAAGACTTAATCATTTTATATCCCTGGTCAGCTCTTTATCTTCCCGGTTTATCTCAGATTAATCATTTTATATCCCTAGTCAGCTCTTTTTATCTTCCCTGTTTATCACGACATAATCATTTTATATCCCTGGTCAGCTCTATATCTTCCCGGTTTATCTCAGATTAATCATTTTATATCCCTAGTCAGCTCTTTTTATCTTCCCTGTTTATCACGACATAATCATTTTATATCCCTAGTCAGCTCTTTTTATCTTCCCGGTTTATCATGACTTTATTATTTTATATTCTATAGTCAACTCTTTATTTTCCCGGTTTATCTCAGATTAATCACTTTATATCCCTGGATATATCTTTTTCGTCTCGGTTTTTCTAAGATTTATCATTGTTTAAATTCCTTTTTTATCTCTCACTTCACTATAATATTATAGGTCAAGTCTTGATAAAACTTAATTCATTTGTTCTCCAGCCTAAATTCTATTTAATTTCAGCCTCAACCCTGAAACAAGTTTTCTCATGAATAGTTTTATTTTTTTTCAAACTTTTTATACAAAATGACGTAACAAAGCTTCTGTATTTAAATCTAATAAGATGAGAGGAAAGTTTTTAAACCAATTCTAGAAAAAAAGATTTTTAACTAATTCTTAGAAAATAAAATGTTTCGAATATTTTAAACTTTTAAACTGAGCAGATTTCAGAAAAAAATTATTAAAAAATATAATAAAATATGCTTTTCATTAAAGGGACTGTCCACCTTATTTTAAATGACCCTTTATTTAAAGATGGGTTACTGTAAACTCCGTTTCATCTTAAGTACTGCACCGACATTTAAGCAGCTAGAACAAGCTGTAAAGTACACATACACACGGGCAGCCGTATTACATTTTAATTTCCGAGTCGGGTCAACCTTTCCAATCCCAGTTTGTACTGTATCGCCCGGACATTGGGTAAATAGAGCAGACACACAATAGGACTATAGTCGGTGCAACAAGGTCGACGCGGTCAGACTTTAGGTTGAATTTACTTTTACTGAAGGGCCAGAGTTGCGTGTACAGATTAAATAAGGCAAAATGGGACAGTACACCAAATGAATCATACCTTTTTATAGATTTAGAGATTATAGTGGCGTGATGTGATTCAAAATAGTTCTCTTTCAATCTTCGTATGGGCAACCATGATAAAAATATCCATGCTTTCTATCTAAAAATTGATAATTTCCAATCGGGGTATCTGTTTAAAAGTGTCTTGCTGATACGTGGAACCACTCGAAAATTACGTGAACAATCTCTTTAAATTTACAAAAAGGTTTTCTAGAAAACATTTAAATAATAAATTCATGATATTTGTGATGACTCGGATTCAACATATTCCCTCCCTACTCATTACTATTAGTGTTTTTATATTTTAACAATCATGTTTTTAGAATTTACAAATGTAAATATTATTATATGCTAAATATAAAATCCACCAAAAAAGTAAATGACAAAATGGGGCATTTCTTTTATGAGGATTTTGTAAGTGTATGGTTTTATATAATTTTCTTTATAAGATCAAATATATTTTAAACATACTTTTTAGAACCTATTCTTAACTTCTCTTTTGAAACTTTTGAAAAAGTTTTATTTTAGCTAAATTGGTGTCAAACGATATTTTTTTTAAATGTCTTATTTATATTTATAGATATATTTTTCATATTAGTTTATAATCTTGTAAAAATTAAATAAAAAATTATTCTTTATAAGTTATCTCTTTGGAAGTCAAACCTTATAGAAATCCAACGTATAGAAACCACTACGTATAGCAACATGGCGTATTTTCCGGGAGAACATTTTTTATATTTTTGAGAAATTAAATAATCACTGTAAAGTAGATATAATTTTCATAAAATCCTTTTATTTCAATGGTTAAACGGAATTTTATGAAATCATCTTAGCATTACTGGAGAACTTTTTTTTTATACATTTAAGAATTTTTTTTTATATAAATTTTGTATAACGAAGACATTTCGAAAAATGCTTCAACTCAGAATTGGTTATAAGATTTTTTTTTCTAAACATAAAACTGTAGATAGCATTTTTTAAAAATATTTTTTTAATAGTAACACGCAATTTTATGCATAGCCATATAATCATTCATTTATGTTGTCAGCTCATAATAAAATCTGGGGGACCTTAAACACAATAGAGAGCAGTACAAATGTACACATTAAACTTTAATGTCTAGGGTATGTTAAAAAAATAGAAATTATGATAATGATAATGATAAGCTACAATGTTTTACAAAAACGTTTAATTTCTAAAAAATATAAAAAATGTTCTCCCGCAAAATACGCCTTGTTGCTATACGTAGCTGTTCCTATACGTTGGATTTCTATAAGGTTTGACTTCATCTCTTTGCATTCCCAATAATATTTTCTCAAAGCTCAAATATGAATATTTTAACATAAAAATATGTTTATTCTATTACCAGCTTATATTCAGTGGTTTACTAGAAAATCTAGACAAATTTGCATTTTATTTTTATTTTTCTCAATATACTCTCAATATTTGTTTATTTACAAAATCACAAAATATCCAGGAATTTATTTCTCTATTTTCTCTTAATATTTAAAAATCGATCAGCATTGTGCCAATTAAAAACAAGCCTCTTAAAGTTACATAATTAATCTTAAAGTCAAGGAGTTAAGCCAGTTCAAAGTCAACCACGCCTGAAGAAACGATCACAATTTTATAATTGTCTAGATCGTAAAAGATGGCAATGTCCGATTTGCAACAATACCCTTAAAAGCTTTGTTTGATCAAGTTTTTGTTTCTTAACACTGTTTATTTCCATTTGCGATTTTTAGCATTTTTGCTTATAAGATGCAATGGAGAAATATCAGAATTAAACACTTTTCGACGTTATATTCCCCCCTGGAGAAATTCCTGATAGCAGTGAATGGTTTCTATATATTGACAAGGGAGAGGATATATACAGCTGTCTAGCACAGTGGTTCAAATGTTGCAAAAATCAACGAGAATTTTTCGAATTGCTTCTTAAATACTAAAGCTATAAACAAGTTCTATATTGTTCAAATAATGTCTATATGTCAGAGCTAAAAAAAGTTATATACTGTTACTGAGGTAAAAACAAGATCAAGGTATTACGCACTTTAAAGTTGACCAAGTCTTAAAAATTGATGCAATATGTATAGCAGACTGAATCTTTAGATTCTCCTGGGTTTGTGTACGATGCAGAATTCAGACGATGTAGATAAATATGACTGGGAGGATCCTATTGGAAATTGGAAAACATTCCCATATCTTGGCATAATACTAAATATTGAAAAAAACTTTTTCCAACACAATTTAGTAGAGTCGAGCGTCTCATATATTATTAAATATAATACAAGGAGAGTAAAACAGGTGTGATTAGGGTCTTCTTGTGCAAAATATTTTTTTTTTTTTCTAAAATTACTCAGATTATTTTTTGTCGGGGGATGGGGGGGGGAGGGCTGATGAGTGATAATACCTTTTTAGCCCGTAGATTGAGAGAAAAAAACTTGTTTCTTCTGAAATCCAAAAATATAGATAAGTATACAGTTTTGGTATTGTAAAGAATGAAAATCCCTGAAAGAAGATAACAAAATCCGTAAGTATGTAGTGTCGAAATCTGGAACCAGAGAACACCTACTCTTCTTTCTCTCCTTTAATACCCTCGTTACTCATTATGTATTAATATCTGGCAAATAAATTATATTATTTCTACCTAATCCTATAATTCATCATTGGGCTAGCGCCATGTGAAAACTGAACGTATATTTAAAACTTTATATGTTCAAGGGTGGACTCTGGAAATATCATAATAACGGAAAATTATTTTTGTAATAACTGTTTATACAATAAAGAAAATGGAAAAGAAGACTTATTATGATTGAGGCTGTTTCTAGAGGACAAGAGTCGGTTGACAGAGGATTTGAAGAGGCTGGCAGGGGACCAAGGGACAGGGAAGAGGCTTGAAGGGGTCCAAGGAGGCCAAGGGGCTGGCTTAGCTTCTATAAACAGGAATGGTGTACAAGGTAATAATTTATAATTATATAATCATAATTTCAAGTGACTCTTTTTAAAGATGTGCATCGCTGATTCACAACAGTACCTTTAATCCTTTTTCTGAATAGAGTTAATTTTATCAATTGTTTTGTTTTACAGGAAATCCACAATTTACATTTATCCTTGATCAGACAAAACTTTTAGAGATACTGTTGTGCATAGATAAATAACAATACAGATAGAACACTACTCACATGCTCTCTCTCTGTCTTGTAATTCAATGCGGCATGCCCGTAACTCCTTTGGGTTTTTCCCTTAGGTTTCTTAGGGTTATTGTAAACTAAATACCCCTAAATCTTGAAAAGACGACATCTAGGGTTATATCTGTGTTGTTATTAACCTATGCTGATGTGAATCGGACATGCCACTCTATACATGGAGGGTCACTGAAAATAGAAAAGATTCATTTAAAAAAGTTTCTTTTAAAGAAGCATTATGCGAATACTCAGAGTTTTGTTATAATTGACTTTTTGATATAATACTTTTTTTTGGAGTTTCTTGCAACGATTTTCCATTTTTTTTTTAATTGAAATATTTTCCGCAATTATTTTGCTTTTTCCTACTTTAAAGTATAAAAGATGATTTCTGTAACCAATTATGGGATTCGGTTCTTGTGCAGGCTTTCATTTCATCTCAGATCTCAGATAATTCTTAGAATCATTTCTTGTTCTTATCATTGCAGAGATGGACATTTCGTTAATGAAATATATTTGATGAACAGGATATTTCAAATAAAGGACATTTTATTTAATTAAAGAACATTTCATATACGGACATTTCAATAATAGTTTTACTAATTTTCTTAGTGATCGGTAGTCTCTTTACTAGTTTTCCTGGTGATCAGTAGTCTCTTTACTAGTTTTCCTGGTGATCGGTAGTCTCTTTACTAGTTTTCCTGGTGATCAGTAGTTTCTATACGAGTTTTCCTGGTGATCAGTAGTCTCTTTACTAGTTTTCCTGGTGATCGGTAGTCTCTTTACTAGTTTTCCTGGTGATCGGTAGTCTCTTTACTAGTTTTCCTGGTGATCAGTAGTTTCTTCACGAGTTTTCCTGATGATCAGTAGTTTCTTCACGAGTTTTCCTGGTGATCAGTAGTCTCTTTACGAGTTTTCCTGGTGATCAGTAGTCTCTTTACGAGTTTTCATGGTGATCAGTTGTTTCTTCACTAGTTTTGCCTGGTGATCGGTAGTAACTTTACTATTTTTCCTGGTGATCAGTGGTAACTATACTAGTTTTCCTGGTGATAAGTGGTAACTATACTAGTTTTCTTGGTAATCGTTAGTCCCTTTACTAGTTTTCCTGATGATCAATAGTCCCTTTACTATTTTTCCTGATGATCAATAGTCCCTTTACTATTTTTCCTGGTGATCAATAGTCTCTTTACTAGTTTTCCTGGAGATCGGTATTTCCTTTACTAGTTTGTCTTGTTGTCTGTATGTATCTCATTAATTTTCATTCTTCTCATATAAAGTTTTTATTGTCATTACCAGCTCACACAATAGTTTACATAGATTAATATTAAAAATCAAGATAAATACTTGTAAATGTAAACAAATAACTGAATAAAATGAACTGTAAAAATAAATAGTTGCAAATAAATAAATTAATAAATTCAATTTCTCAAAAGATAAGAATAAATAGAGAGAAAACATCTAATTAGAGAATGTCTATCTAAATTCTAAAGTAAGGGGCATGAAAATCCCAGGCCCACTAAGTTGTATATATTAATAACCAAAACTAGCCAGTCTCTCCGGATAAACTTTATGTACAAAACATACACGAGCAATTCTATCTACTCAATCTGTCCTTACAAGGATTTGCATATAACTAACGTTTATTTATTCTAAAGATATGTACTAGTGCTCGGACCGACGTAGCGGTCAGCGCAATCAATTCAAAATATATTTACAAGGTTAGGGTTTGACAAGAGATATATTTATTTTCATTACATATTAAACGTTTAGACGTTGGACTTGGATACAGCACTGCATCAGGACCCCTGAGCTGTAAATAATGTTCAGGTGTTGGATACAACAGTGTATCAGAACCCCTGAGCTGTATATAATGTTTAGGTGTTGAATAGTGATCTGTATCAGGACCCCTGAGCTGTATATAATGTTTAGGTGTTGGATACAGCACTGTAGCAGGACCCCTGAGCTGTATATAATGTTTAGGTGTTGGATACAGCACTGTATCAGGACCCCTAAGCTGTATATAATGTTTAGGTGTTGGATACAGCACTGCATCAGGACCCCTGAGCTATATATAATGTTTAGGTGTTAACAAGTTCTATATTGT